TCAACTGAGTGACAATTCATAAACACATAACGGTGTTGTGCAGTGTTTCTTGGTGAAAACGCCACGAGAAACTATATCAGGAAAGATAGCATGACCTAGGGGCTAGTGATAGTTCCGTCCAGCAGGACGTGTAAACAAGTCAGCAAGTGAAGAATTTGCACCAGTGGAGATAGACCAGATTTACCTGCCATACGGTACGAATCAGACAGCCTGAAACTACACAAATGTATGGAGGCAGATAACAACCGCCATTACAGGCTAGCAGTATTGCAATGTCTCGCCTTCCAGTTGCTTCCTCTTATGACAAGCTTAATAAGGAGAACTGAGTAAAACAGTATGATGCACGAGATAGAGGAGACGCTATAAGCAAACGGGTGCCCGGGGCGGTTTGCTCAAATACGCTGTTATCGGAAGAATATACCCAAGTGCAACTGCGGAAACTAAAGGCGCCTACACTCATTTGCAAAGCAGCTTGGTTTTCACGAGAGAGTCAACTGAATCTCTCGTTTATTATATTCTACAACTGAATGCGCTGCACTCCGGCCGCCTCATGATTCATTTGGCATGATATTCGAGATATCGCAGTGTATTTTCATAAAGGAAACTACTCACAAGGTTGCTGAAAACTCTTCGACAGCCCACGACCGGTTTCGCCCTTCCGTTTGGGGCTCATCAGGTAGGCGCAGTCCCCGAGTTTCCGTCAACCTTATATTCTACTTCAACCCAAATTGGACTGTTTTCGAGAAATACACTAAGTTGACGGAAGCTCGCGGACTGCGCCTACCTAATGAGCCCCAAGAAAGGCGAAGCCGGTCGTGGGCTATCGAAGAGTTTTCAGCAACCTTGCGAGTAGTTTCCTCTATGATAAAGGCGCCTATTTCCATCGTACGTATAAAAGAGACCGCACTTTCACTGACCCTGAAGAGTGGCATCACATCCCAATCAGACTTACTCAGCTCCTCCGTTGAAGCAAGTCGACGAGTAGTTTCCTCTATGATAAAGGCGCCTATTTCCAGATGTCGTATAAAAGAGACCGCACTTTCACTGACCCTGAAGAGTGGCATCACATCCCAATCAGACTTACTCAGCTCCTCCGTTGAAGATAGCAAGTCGACAAGAAGCCTCCTAATTTGTGCTGGCTTAGACCAGCCCGGAACTATTCTTTCAATAGAACAGTTTCACCGTAATTTGCAGCCTATTTTAAGCGCTGTTCAGAACCTATCCTTATATCCGTGACACTTCTGAGTACAGCCAGAACTAGTGCAGTTTTTTCTACAAATATCACCTACCCCACTGGTTTTCTACTCCTGTGGGTGTCTGTAACTAAGTGAGGACCAGAATTCTTGACACCTACCTTTCCCATCCGTTTTAGACCCTCCACACACTTACCAGTCACTTCTGTGAAGTGACCGTTAAAATCGGCAGCCAAGTTAGCATATAATTCAGCCCATATAATGCATCACCTGCGGGGATGCAACCGCAGAACAGACCAATATCTATAGGGAAGTACTGTACGTCCTTCAAGGTCAATCGAGAACAGGTGTCGTCGATTTCTAACCTTCCACTGAAAACGGTTCATCGAACGGACCCCGGGTCCCCATCCCGAGTGCTGTAACGCAATGGAAATGCAAACACTACGCGGACCGATAAAGCCATTTGGATCGAAATTCATCCATCAACTCTGTGTTCACGGAGGGTTTTGAAGCAGCGCACCAAGTCATGATCGGATTTTGCCGCTACATGATTGTTAATTCAAATTTACTGCTAATCCTTTCGTGTTTTACGCCTCGTGGCTTGGAAGAGTAGTGTTCAACGAATAATTTAGGTTGCCTAGACTGATGTGACGGAACTAATGTTTTAGGCAGCCTTTCTATTTAGTCCACATTAGAGCGAGCCAAGATTGACTTCAGTGATTTTCCAATTTAGTGTGAACTAACCAGATTAATTTTTGTCAGGATAGGTACGGGATTGTTCATACGAGGTCTTGAAAGTGTTTGCTTCAACGAACACTGTAACCAATTTTCACTGTGAGACTCCTTGGTGGAGAGTAATAAAAGCTGCTTTCCTGATCAGATTTGCTTTTTTTTCTTGTTGAAACAAGCAATGTCCGGCAGATGGTTTTCTTTAGGGTGCTCTAATGCATCGGAAGGGAGAAGCAAATTTTCCTGGCTTTCAAGTACACATTTTTCTGCCACGATGCGTTTTTATTTAATCAGACATAAATATACCAAGTCACGATTTGTTCAGTTCGCGCAGAGTGTATCAGGTGTTCACGTGGCGTTTTGTGCATGTGAACTTTTGTTCAGTAGCGGTTTTGCACTTTTCAACTACTCCATGGAAGTATCTAAAAAAAAAGTGATCGATTTGAATTTTCCACCGCTACACTATCAGCTTGCCGATGGAAAAGGAAACATAAAAGGATACTAGGTACCTCAGAAAACCGTCTGGAGTGGATCAGAATGAAAGACAAGTGCAGCACATTTGTTCTGGTGATATTAATTTGGCTGATTCACAACAGTCCGGAGAAGCAATGCATTCGAGTTTTCTTGCTTTGGTGTGAACTAACAGCCAAGACAAAAGGACTGTTCAGATATGTGGTGTGGATACAACTATCTGCAACTTCCAAGGATCGGTGAAGCAGTTTTGTCGGCGGTTTGTGTACGAACCACATAGAACGTTGAGCCAAACCGACATCTTAGTTCTTGCTTAGTGCGCGCGCCTCTTACAAGGCACTTACGATTGACAAGAGGGAGAAATTTTTGGTAACTGGTTGTCGACTGAGATTCTTGAACACGTTCTAAAGAATACACACTAATGTTTATTAAACATCCACGCAGTTCTATTGCTCGCTACTTCCTTGATTGTGAGGAACGCCCAGATCCAAGTCACTCATTAAAACAGAAGCCGCCTGAGGTGGCAGTAATAGAGCGTCAAAAAGTTCACTCGGTTCAATCAACTGAATCCCTTGATTGAGTGTACGTAAACAGCTAATGAGGTAACGCGAAACGGCTTAATTCAACCCTGTGATGATGGCTGTTTTCGCTCTCAACATGACTGTCCTCAAGACAAAGTGAATTGGAACCTTAATCAAAGTCGGGCACAGCGTTGTACGGTCTAGAGGCGCTCTTCAGAAATTTCGTGATCAAGACGTAGGACCACTGTGAAACACTAATGAGTCTGTTAGCCACAGCAGTGAAGAGGCAGAATCGTCCATTCTCCTCATAGCGACCAGCCTTTCTAAAGCAGAATGTAGGTTTCTGTGTGGTCACTTTAGCGGAAAATCCCTGAAGGTAGCATCTTCATATGCAACCCTCAACACAAGACTCTCCGTTTCAATGACGTGAATTTACAAGTACGCTACGGAGCGAAGATCGAGCGTAAATGTATTAAGATCTGTTCCAATCGACGCTTGACAAGGTCCTTTGTCGTTTAACTCTCAAATTAGGGCTTCAAACAGACAAGGCAAGCACATCAGGTCCACAAGAATGATACATGAGTTGTCTGTCGGATGAGAGCTCATGAAAGAGTGTAACCACAAGTTTTTCTACTTTGTTTTCAAAGTTACTATGCTGTCTGTGTACATCGGGTTGATGAGGTTATCGACAGTAACGATCTAAACCCTTGGGTTTAAAGGACTCTCCAATATTCGCCTCATCAATTCATCGATGACGAAGTTGAATAAAGATAGGAAGAGTGAACTTCCTCGTCTGGAGATTTCCCAGAGCGCTCATACACTCTCACACCGAGAAATGTGACCGGATTACGCTGACGAACATCAGAGGAATCCGATGTCCAGTAAGCATGGCTAGAAGCGTCAATCGATCGACAGAATGACATACGGTGGAGCTTCCATGAGCGGATTATGGTTTCTCAATCTATTAAGAGGCCATCGAAGGTATTACTTAAATAAGTCAGTGCTGTTGCCATGGTAAGGTTGCGAATGAAAGAACCGTTTCAACGTTATTTCATGTTTGGATTTTTCCAGAATACCTGATAGCGTTTTCAAAAGAATCCACCGAAATGAGCCGATGCTGCGCGAGGTCAGGTCAGCTGCGACTTCCAAGGCGTGGTACACTGACACCACACGAGGTGAACAGCATGTCAGTTAAAGCAGTTGGGAGAAACAGCAACTACCTAATGGAAAAGTTGTTGATATAAGTCGGTAGCAACGATGGATTTACTTCTTTCCAGCAAGGATAACCAATCCGCATACCCTGCATAACAGTCGTACCAATGTTACAAAAGTTGTTGGAGCATTCGGATTCGCAGTTAGTTTATCAGGCCACGCGGAGGTTCATCGATATTTACAGCGTTAGGAGAGCCTCATCACCTCCTTCAAAGCCGTCGCTGGAAAGCAACTAGTCATTACTGCAGATACTCGAACAGAATGGGCCCCAGTTAGCATTATACAACTCAGGAACTCTATCGGTCTATCCTAGAATAGATCCCACACTCTCTGCTGATAGGGGGACGTTCAATCAATCATGCAACCAGCAAAAATACTCACATTTTGCAATGTACGTTACTACGAACAATGAAATTAAGGGGCTCGAGCACAGTGTTCTAATCCACGTAGGATACACCTTAAATGCTGATGTTGGTGCATGACTTATCCTCTAACACGGAGTTCTCGAACTTTCTGTCCGCAGTTAGCTATTGGTAAAGTCACGCAACCAACGTTGATACAGTTCTTGCAGTCAATTTCTACCCGCATTGTTCGGGCGAATGTTTAGAGCGTGGGTACCTGAGGAGATTAGTTAGCTTCACACCATATTGGGTTTTCTTAAACTAACCTTTCAATGATAATGTGACTATTGTGCATCCGTATGGGTACCGGTAGTGCGGCCTATGAAGATAACTAGTAGTTAACAGAACGGGCCTAAGGTGAACTTTCCAAGAGAATGTTAAAGCTATCATGTACGAAAGTAAGAAAAACTATGAAGTACTGAAAGAAAACCTGGAATAACATCCCATTCTCTGCGTAAAGTGAGTAGAAAATACAAATTCAACAAGGAAAAAAGGTTTAGAAAATCGCATCACAAAATATAACAAAAGACTAGAGACTGTGCAGGTGAGGTAGGAATGCCTGCTAACAAAAAATATTCCTCGTTGCTATGAAATCAATTAATTGAACGCAGAAACTTCAACAATGCGACGCATATGCATCTGGAGGGTGAGATAGAAAGGTCGCTCACAGAAAGAGCACAGTAAGATCACAAAGTATCAGCAAATGACAACAGGTCAGCATTACGAACCCAACCCTCCAGCAATGCTGCTCTCTTTTCCGGTGGAGTGTTAAAGAAACATCGAGCAGCGGGAGAGTAAATGTTAGTTGAGTCCCTCGGAAGGCCAAGATTTCGCCATTCGTTCTCACGCCAACGGTTCCGGTAAGAGTCCAACAGAAGCGTGACGCTTTCGGGAGGAAAAGGAGGATGCCCGGGTGGAAGCGAAGAAATTGGGACCGGTCTGGGCAGTGTCGGACAACGGAGGTTTGGAAACACAATTGCACCACTAAAGCAAAGAGCGAATTGAGCAATTAAACAATTATTTATTCATTGTGAACATTTGACTTATTCAATCAATCAATCAATCATTAAGTTGTAACACCCTTTTGGTGCCTAGCTGCCATGCCACCCGAAAGAAACACGAGGGCTGGGATACTGCCAAGTTGCCCTAGCCTAGACAGGGAAAGTCGAGAGGCACAGGTCGGGTTCGAACCACGGACTTTCAGGTCAGTAAATTCGCGTTCTAACCACTGAACCAGTTGACTTGTTAGATGATTAGAGATCTCGACTTACTAAGCAGTTTCATGTTACTCAATATTACAACCGATTATGGATTTCTGGGGGAAAATCAGGTGATTTGGGTAGCCGCACTCGAGTTCCCCTAGAATCCGCAATGAGATTCTGTTTAAAAGTGCCGTAGTGTTGTTAAATACATTTTCCCTTCAAACACGGTGCAATTACAATGGTCCCATGACGAAGACCAAACCAATGGGACCCCGTGACATCTAGTCTGGAATTAAGATACATCCTTTTAACTCGAATATCAGCTGATAAAAGTGATAATAAGAATCGCACAACTGTTGTGCCATTCTGGCGCATACTCGCCATGCAACTCAAAGAACGCTGCCAAGTATAGACAGGAGCAATTAAAAAGTCAGGGTTTGTTTCGAACAAAGGGACTTTCAGTCAGTCGGTCAGATTATCTAACCGCTGAGCTATGTTGGCCCATATAATCTGATCAGAAATTATATCATAGGAACAAAAATACCTTCAACGGATAAAGTAATAATAATAAATCGTTTAGTTGTAGCACCCCTTCGGTGCCCAACTCCCATGCCACCAGAAGGAAGCACGAAGGCTGTTGCCGAAGTTCCCCAGTCGTAGACAGTGGAAGTTGAGAAGCAGAGATCGGTTTCGAACCACGGATCTTCCGGTCAATTAACTATCCATCTAACCACTGGGATATCTCGCCCCGGAGGCCAGATATGTATTTTAAAAAATTCCAAAGGATGACTTATCTTCAAAGGTCACCCGTGTATAGTAAAAAGCTGCGTCACTGTTCGAGCTCACCGGGTGGGCGTGAATGGGACCATTAAAGTTACCCTTTGACTAGAAGCGATTATACAAGCACGCCAAGACCTCATATCCGTCGACTGGCTCTGCGTGGGTGGTGACAATGTAAGTGTAAATCATGTCATAACTAACGGGTACTACTCGAAGACAGCCAAACTGTTGATCCCATCCCGTCATCAGCTCCCGTGGAGGGCCTGATAATGAGCGAATCATTGGACTGGGGTTTATATAATGGAATTCGGTTCGTTAGTGAAAAGATACTGTGCGAATTATTTCACCCTCATCGATTCTAGTCTCGCTGGTCGTCAATAAGACCGGGGATTTTAAGTTTCAAATGAATTGTTTGGAAGCTTCGGACATACGATAGCGACAAAGACACACTTTCCGAAAGCCAATATCAAAAGACTATCCATACGAAAAAATTCAAACAGAAGCCACTGGGAAAACAGAAACGAAAAGAACAACCTACCGAAATCCGAACCAGCCGCCATAATGGGGGTGCAAACTGCAGCCACCAGCAGATGAACTACCATGAATCGGGTCGTCTCGATGAAAATAGGCTATTCCAGACACATGCCCCGCGCACTGAACATGAATGTAGGGCAGCCGAACTACTGGTTTCATAGCATAGTCCGGAATGAAACGCGATGGTATCAACTTCTGATACTCCTCAGATGGTAGTTGCGCTTTGAGATCACCAAGTGATGCTTCCATTGCATCGTGAATACGTAAAAGGACGGACCAGTCCAACGGATCATTCGGTCCTGGAAGAGCAACACAACCGTTCAAGTTAGGCTTAATTGACTTCAGAGCATTCGCCAGCGACGTGACCTCATCTCCCTTGAACCAATCAAACAAATGATGGAGGAAACTGTTTTCAAACATATGGGGAGAGCTGATGATACACAGCGCCACGCAATCATCAGAGGGGGCAGTAACCGTATCTATTTTCAAACGTGCAGATACAATATCATTGTACCACCCGACCAAAAACGGCGCCAGTTCAAAGCCAAACGGACAAAGTTGTCCACGCAGGCATTGTATCGTTCGGTTGATAAGATTGAGCTGCGAGTGCTCGTTGTCGGGCATGATTTCCTGGAAGAGGCGGGGAGGATAGATTTAGGCTGGTGTGACAATAGCAATACTGGATGGTTAGGGAATGATGACCTTCCTTAAACTAAGGTGATGCGGAGTGGAAAATCGTAGTGATGAATTCGGTTGAAGCTGGGCCCTGTTCTGTACGGGAAAATCGTACGTGAAAACATACGGCTGGCATGTGGCTGGCGAAACTCATTCCCTCTATGGCTTCCTCAGTAAAACCTATGCTTCTCGAAAGACATCCGTGGGAAGAGGCCACCATACTGAAAAGTAGATTACGACATTCCTCGTCAGACATGTTACTGTACGATTCTTTCGAAAAAAGGTTAACCCCGGAAGAGACCTGATACTGTCTTCTCCTGAGATGACTTGTATTGGAGGATGTACTGCGTACGAAAAAGCATAGCACGGGCGATGTTCAAATACGCGGATAGATACCAGCTCGCATCACTTAGAAAATTATTGAGATTCTCAGGTTGGGTGTGGAGTCTAGTTCGATTCTCGGGAGGACGAATTTTGGTTACATTGGAACGTTTCTCTGCAAGAAACACTTTTGGAAACGCAATATCGACCACGAGACATCGTAACCCGTTGACAAATTTGAAGAAAACAAACGACATTATGGCAGAATGGCGGGTCCAGTTTAGTTTGACAATCCTAAATCGTGTGGGTACTTAAAGTGGTTCAGGTTGCCGCAGCTTGTGGTAGCTAGTAATGTATGATGGAAGAGGACAGTGGGCAGTACAGAAAGTAAGAAGAGAAAAATGGCGGATTGGTCATTAGGTGAAAGGGACTAGATAAAAGCCCTAATGGGGGCACGACATCGCCAAGTCGGTGGGTACTTCCAACGACCTATGTGTTAATCTTCCACCGCTACATAAGACATCTGCAATCTCAGCAACGGTCCACCGTCAATCTTTCTATGTTTCTTTTTGGAATAATGACTTCCAGTTAGAAAGGGTTTCAATAATTTAGTCGATGACATGACATACGAAGCAAACAACTAATTTGTCGCCTGTAATCAGTCCACTATTTGGACGAGCAGTGAGCCTGTTATTCAAACCGTTTGCAGTATGGTCGTTAATCAGATGTTAGCACACCATAAATATTGACCGAAATCGATTTTCGAACGGAATCATCTCCATAACGAAGGAAAAATTCAAGATTTGTTCCTTATTTTGTTGCCAAGACCTTGTATGCATATTATATATATATATATATATTAGGATTTAGCCTTGGGGAACGCATTCAAAAGGACCAACTGCGGCCAAATTTGGTATAGTTTTTATTCGGTTAGTACCGCATCAGCTAGATGTCGTAAACCCACCCGGATATTGCACCTAGATGGACTGAATCGATGACACCAGGAAGGTTTCATATACTGCAACTCTACGTTCAAAATCCATGGACCTACAACAAAGTGCCAGCCAGGTGTTGGTCATCGTAACGCAACGCTCCACACTCCAGACGTTGCGCGAAGGTTAAGTGGGGGAATTGGGAAGAACCTATTGGAGGCAATGGCTTGGATGCATGAGCGCCAGTGAGAGCGCGACGGCGCCATGTCTGACAGTGTCTTCAACGATTGATGTAGCCCGTCTCGGGGTCCCCATCAAGGAAGACGGCAATGACCAGTGCAGCTGATTTTGTTGGTAATTGGCTTCTATACTTCGCTACCAAGTCATTGTTTGACCGCCTCTGGATCTCTTCCACCCTTCATGTGGTTGTGCGAAAACAACCCAACGAAGAGGCCGGTCGATTGGCATTGCTGATCCGGTGTTTCCACCAGATTCCGGCAATGCTCCGAAGACACTGATGGTCAAAAACTGGAAGTCTTTTGACGTCCTCAGTGCGCAACGGCCAGGTTTCTGATCCGTATAGTATGGAGCGCACCGCATCATCATCATCATCATCATCAACGACAGCATGACATCAGTGCTCAACACCGATGCTTCACTGCCGTACAACCATGACTTATTTGAAAGCCTTATTGTAAAGAAGAGAATAAAGGTGGATGGGGGAGGGACTTAGTGCTAGCTTAACACAATCATTCCGAGGTGCCTACACCTCCAGACATTCACTCAGGCAATCTGGA